GTGCGGGTCGTCTCTCCTGTCAACTCACACATTTTCGTCGAGTACATCCTGCCTAGGTTGCAGGGCGCCATCGTCGCAAATGCAAACACACCAAGCCCGTTAGTGAGAGCCACCTATGCATCATGTTTGGGGAGTCTTGCAAACACTGCCGCACGATTCCTGGAGTTGGCAGCGACATTGAAGGCGGATGGCACCCTGACTGTCGCCGACCCCGAGCTTGAACCTGGAATCGAGGCTGAGGCTGCCTTTGATGGCCTCTTCGACGATGCGCAGAGAGAGCTCTACGAAATGTTCGAGCTACACACAAAAGCCCTGGTTGAGGACCCAGATGTGTCTGTTCGCAGAGCATTTTTGACCTCAGTGCCCAATCTGTGCCTGTTCTTCGGTCCAGCGGAGGCAAATGATATTCTTCTCACACATCTCAACACCTACTTGAACGACCGCGACTGGATGCTGAAGTGCGCCTTCTTCGAGACTATAGTCAGCATCGCTAGTTTGGTGGGCAGCGTCAGTCTGGAGGAGTTCATGCTACCTCTCATGGTTCAGGCTTTGACTGATCCAGAAGAATTCGTCGTCCAGGCGGCTCTCCATTCTTTAGCACAATTGGCGAGGCTGGGCCTGCTTTCAAAGACGAAGATGTGGGAGCTTATCGATGTGGTCGTACGCTTTACGATGCACCCGAACGTCTGGATCCGAGAATCTGCCACAGAGTTTCTATCTGAAGCCACGCGCTTTCTGTCTCCGGCAGATGTCAGGTGTATCGTCTTTCCCATGGTCAAGCAATACCTCAAAACGGGAATGGTGCCCGAGTTTGCCGAGCTCGCACTCCTGGACGCTCTAAAGCGACCCATGTCGAGACCTGTATTCGACCAGGCCTTGATGTGGGCGCTCAAAACGGACAAGGGCGTATTCTGGAAACTATCGCAGCAGATTCGATCGTTCTCTTATGGGTCCCTCCCAAAGACCATCACTGGTCGAGCGTCTAAGGACACGCTCAGCAAGGTTTCGAAAAATGACGAGGACGAGCAATGGCTTGACCGACTGCGAAACCTCGGGCTAGGACCAGATGATGAGTTCAAGCTTCTTGCGTTACGGGAGTTCATCTACCGTGTTAGCAAGATGAAATCAAGAGACGGCGTCGATCGAGACCCAGCCAAGTTGAACGAGGTAATCTCCCTCAAGAGCCTCGGCCTCACACCGCAGACAGTCTTCTTCGACGAGGAGCCGCTGCAACAGTCTACATTCCAACCCGATGTAGATCAAAAGGGCCCTTACACAATTGCCGACGCTCTATTGGACGCTTCTATGACTATCGACGATTCCACAGGCAAACGGAAGTTTGCAGCCCTCAATAGTCTGCGTACGCGCGTGGTGGAAGACCAAGGCTCTTCATCACGGGACGTATCGCGCGTCAGATCGATTGACCTATCGAGACGCTCGTCAACCGGCCAAGGCAAGCTCACAGTAGGAAGCCCGACGGATGACAGCGCTTCGGTTCACGACCAGCCTTACGCAATCCGGAGGGCAATCCGACATCAATCGAGCGCCTTGAGCTTGCTGGATCGTAAGGATGGCAACAAAAGCATACCCGAGACTGGCATGTCTGGCACCAATGCTTTCGGGGAAGTGGAAGGACCTTTTGCCCAGGCGCCACTTGTGCGGCCCGACATGCAGGATCGCAGGACCAGCACTACCAGCGTCGTAACGAAGTTGAGGCCGAATCACTCGTATGAGGGATCCGATCCCAGCATTCTCAAGATGCTAGATTCGATGTACCAAGACAACTACCCCCACGACATCGCCGAATTTGGGCCTATGGTCACTCCCATTACTCGTCGCAAGCCAAACCGGTCTGTTGGCCAGTCTGGTGATGACCCCTGGCGACCAACTGGCCGCATGGTTGCTACTTTTGCAGAGCACACCGGTGCGATCAACCGCATCGTGGCGTCTCCAGACCATGTGTTCTTCGTTACGGGTGGCGATGATGGTAATGTCAAAGTCTGGGATAGTGCCCGACTTGAGAAGAACATCACGCACCGGTCGAGGCAGACACACAAGCACGCTGAAGGATCCAGAGTTCTTGCGTTGTGCTTCATCGAGAACACGCATTGCTTCATCAGCTGTGCAAGTGACGGCAGTGTACACATTGTTAAGGTCGAAACGGTATCGGCCAGCGGAGTACTGCGGTATGGAAAATTGCGTCTGCTTCGAGAGTATCAGCTTCCCAAGGATGAACACGCCGTATGGTGTGAGCACTTCAAGATCGACAGTACCTCAGTTCTGCTGCTGGCGACAAACCGGTCACGCATCCTAGGCATTGATCTTCGGACGATGAATTTGCTTTACACGCTAGAAAACCCCGTTCATCATGGGACTCCTACATGCTTCTGCGTGGATCGCAAGAGAAACTGGCTGTGCGTAGGAACTACACATGGCGTTCTCGACCTCTGGGACTTGAGATTCCGTATGAGGCTCAAGGGCTGGGGTGTACCCGGCAAGAGTTCCATCTACCGGTTGTGCATACATCCTAGCAAGGGACGAGGTAAATGGGTCTGTGTCGCTGGCGGGACGGGTCAGGGTGAAGTTACAGTTTGGGATCTTGAACGCACAATTTGCAGAGAGATCTATCGGGTCGGTGGCAACAAGGAAGGGCCAAAGGGATACGAGCCATGGGAAGTGGACGAAGACAAGCCTGAGGGCATGCTGGGCCGGTTTGCGACCAACATCGAGACGAGTGGAAGTGGAAACGCGGACCGCGGTGTTCGTGCCATGATTGCAGGCACAGGCGCCACGGACGACTCGCGAGATGTGCGACATGCCTTCATCGTCACCGGCGGATCAGACAAGAAGCTCAGGTTTTGGGACCTTTCCCGCATCGAAAGCTCTACGGTGTACAGCGGGTTGCAAGTTGACGACCCAAGGCCTACGTTTGCGGCTTCTCACCCGACAACATCCATGACTCTGAACACGGAAAGGATTCCAAGGCAGAATGCGACAGCATCCAACGCGGCGGGCGGAACCAAGGGGAAGGTCACCGGCGGACGACCAACGCGCTCTACAGTTATATCTCTTCAACATCAGCAGCTGCTGCGATCTCACTTGGATTCGATTATGGATGTGGCGCTGCTGGAGTTGCCTTACAGCATGACTCTGTCAGTGGACAGGTCTGGGGTAGTTTTTGTTTTTTCGTGATGGTACACGCGAGGGCGTTAACTTGGGATCATTGGCATAGATACCTTTAAATACATAATGAATATGAGATAGAATGTTTTATTCATATCTTAGGTACCTTCAGAGGACGGGAAAGCGATGTTCATTACAGGCACTGTGCGACACCGGCTGTTTGGCGAGGTCTTACTGTGTACGTACTCTGTATGAACACTGTACGCCCAGGCGGGGATGATAGCTCTTATCAGACGGTCGGCCAAATTTTGTGGGTAGCCGCCTCGTCGACCGCCAACTTTTCAGCCTTGCCTGTTCGTCACGACACCCACGCGACAACCCAGTTGCGACGGCGCAAAAACACCTGCACATCTCGAACACACGACGGCGATTCCTTTGTACACGACGACAAATTATTGCACCGTACCCAAACCGAATCTTTCGCAACAGCGCCATCCACTCCAAAAACCACCCATCATAACCCCGAGGTAACAACAGCCCAAGATGAGGCTCACGGCGGAGCTCATCAGGGACTCGCTTTCCTACCTGAATCCGCTCAAGGAGCGTGAGCTAGATCTCCGAGGTGCGTGAAAAGAGCAGATGCTACACTACTCATGATAAATGAGCTATAGAGGAACAGAATTGATAGCGGGGCCCGGATGAGGGTTTGTGTAGGACATCGAATCCCGGCGATCGAGAATTTGGGTGTTGCTGGCGTGAGTTCTTTCTTTTCTCCTCCTTCTTTCCCAAAGGGCGGGTGTGTTTCCTGTCTACGGAGGCTGCATCCCGACAACTGGGCGAATCTGTCTTGCTGACTCTCGAGGAAAACAGCCCCACGACTCCATCGACTTCACAGACAACGACATCCAGGTGCTGGGCAACTTCCCGCTGTCGCCGCGCATCTCGACGCTGCTGCTGGCGCGTAACCGCGTGTCGAGCATACAGCCGACGCTGCCCAACGCTATCCCGAACCTGCAGCAGCTGGTGCTCGCGGGAAACAACCTGGCGGAGCTGGCGGACCTGGACGCGCTGGCCGGCTTCAAGCGGCTGACGCACCTGGTGCTGGCGGACAACCCGGTCACGAAGAGGGAGAACTACCGGTACTGGGTCGTATGGCGGTGTCCGACGGTGCGGTTCCTGGACTACGGCAAGGTCAAGGAGGCCGAGAGGGAGAAGGCGAGGGAGCTGTTTGGGACGGCGGAGGAGCCTTCTGCTTTGGCTTCCAAGGTATGTCTCTTCTTCTATTTCTCTCTCGAACATTCAAAGAACAGAAAGGCTAATGTGGAGGATTCGCTTTACGGCAGATCACGGGCATCAAGTCCAAGACGCTCGAGGTTTCCGCGGCGAACGGCGCGGCGGCCCCGTCGAAGCTCTCGAGGATAAAGCTCACGGAGAAGGAGAAGGAGCGGCTGAAGGAGATGATCAAGAAGGCGGACAGCCTGCAGGAGATTATCCGTCTGGAGAAGATGCTGACGGAAGGGACCATCCCTGCGGGAGTACACCTCGATGGAGATGCTACCATGGAGGGTTGAGCTGGAGGAAAGGTCACAGGCGAGACGATGCTTTATTTTTCTCATGGACTGGCGTTATTACGAACAAAAAGAGAGGTTTCAGTTTCACTTTGATGCGGATCCGTGCTATGGATGCAGAAAAAGAGAAAAAAAGGTCGATTTGGTATTCGTACACTTCGTTAAGAGGCTATGTGCTACCTAATTTGATGGTGCTGGGGGTGTGTGGTTATGTGTGATTTTGGTCTGATTAATCCTAAAAACCCCTTTGACCATCATTTCGGCGGATGATCAGGGGGTCCATGTCTTTGAGGCAGGTAAGAAACGGTTTCAACCGGTCATATCGACGTCGCCGTCAGCCTGGCGGGCCTCAGCCTCAAGCTGGGCGTTGGGGTCGTCGTCCTGCATGGCAGCAGCAGCGGCAGCGGGGCCAGCAGCGGTGCCGTTGACGCCGTTGGTGGTGGACTGGCGCTTCTTAGGTTCCGAGTCGGCCTTTCTGGGGTTCGCGCGGGAGATTGCGGCTTGGTCCTTGATCTTCTTGTAGGGGATAGTCTTTGGGATGACGTCCTCGAGGAATTCGAGGTTGTCGTGGTGGTTGACGGCGTTTGCTTCAGGGGACGCAGGTTTTAGTTTCGTTTCTCTCTCTGAGAGGAGGTTGAGGAAGAGGAGAAGCTTACCGAGATCCTTGTACTGGACGTTGCGGCGGGGTTTGCGGTCCATCTTGGCCATGTTCTGGCCCTCGTTGGCGAGGTATTGGATGAACATCTCCTGTGAGACTCATGAGTGAGGGTTTGCACTGGGAGGGTGGGCAGAACTTACAGTTGCGAGTGTGATGACGAAGGCAGCATTGTTTGAGCAGATGCCAATGTCTGGGTCTGTGGCGATGATCTTCTTCACGCGGGCCACTGTGAGATTGTCAGGTGGACTGGTTCGGAGAGCTTAGTGAGAGGGCAGCATACGAGGTAGAGCCGGCTGGCCTGTTACCTCCTTTCTTGGAGGGATGGCGTTGGTGTTGTAAGGCATCTTTGATAGATGGGTGTGAAGACTGATCGTGTGAGAGGTTGGAGGACTTGAGTCTGTATGAGAGTCAGTGAGAAACTCTTAGCTGTGGTATAGAAGCGATGATCTGAGTGACAATGCCTCAAGCTGAAAGTGAGATCTCAAGCCACACTTCCCGAAGCTTTTATAAGTAGGCCCCAGAGGGTTGTTCTAAGTGAAAAGACCTCAGGAAAGTTGCTGGTGAGGGCATCCCCTCAATATTTACATCTCCGGAGCTGCAGGGGCCGTAAGGGGAGGAGTTGAATAGGAGTCACCAACCTCTTCCAAGACTCGATGTCTATGCCTGCCGAGGATGGCGAGGCAAAAGGGGCCTGGTCGGGCTCGAGATCTCTTCTGCAGTCAATCAATGATGATATTGTACTCTTGAGTGTCTGGTTTCTCTGTGTTTGAGGCAGCTGTCGTGGTAGAGTCGTCGAGTTCGTCGTTGAGTGAGATGTCTTCGCCAAGGTGGTCGTCAAGGAGAGGCTCACTTTTGATAGAGTCGCGCCAAAAAAAGGCCAGTGAGACGCGACCACTGACAACGCGCTGGTTTGAACCGCTGCCCGCAGCCAAGCCGCAAAGCTTAAGCACCAATTGCAGGGGGGACCCAGTCGACCCAGTCGACCCCAGCTTACCATCATTGGAACCCCCCCGGTCCCCGGCGCCGGTTCCAGCGCAACCACCAGCAGCATCGCCCGCAACCTGCATTGGGGATTCCCCAGAGATCAGCAAGCTCAGGACAGACTACAGATACCGATCGCAAACTACCTACACCAAACCCCCCTCCCTGTCGAATCATCACCGAACCGAAGAAGCATCCCCACGGGCGACGTTCGAACGAGGGCACAGGTCGCCCAGAAGAAGTACCACCTTGCGCCCAATTTGCCTCGCTGTCGCGAACATGAGCAGTGCGCCGCCGCCGCTGCCAAGCCGACAATGACTTCACGAACTACATCCTTCTCCCACAGCCCGCACCGGCTCCCGCGCCCTTCCATCACATCGAGGCTCTCGTTTGCCGTGTCGAACGCGGAGCAGAGCGACGATGACGAAGAGCAGAACGAGGCAGGCGAGGCCGCCCCCGGCCCGCGGCAGCAGCAGCAGCAGATCGAGGAGGAGATCGCCGAGATCAAGCGCTACGAGGACTTCACCACCATAGACTGGGTCCAGGACGCCGCCCGAGAGCAGGCGAGGAGGAAACTGCGACGTCGGCGGCGCGCCGGCATGCTCGACACCGGCCAGGCTGGGTGGAGGTACCGGCTGCGCGAGAGCTACGACGCTGCGCAGGGCTGGCTCGTGGTCACCCTGATAGGCATCACGATCGGCCTCAACGCTGCCTTCCTCAACATCATCACCGAGTGGCTCTCGGACATCAAGATGGGCTACTGCACGACGGCCTTCTACCTGAATGAGAACTTCTGCTGCTGGGGCGAGGACAACGGTTGCGCCGAGTGGCACAAGTGGACGGGCTTCGGCCCTGTCAACTACCTTCTCTACATCATCTTCGGTACGGTTTTTGCGTTCACGTCGGCGACACTCGTCAAGTCATTTGCTCCGTATGCGGCAGGATCGGGTATATCGGAGATCAAGTGCATCATCGCAGGCTTCGTCATGAAGGGGTTCTTGGGGTTCTGGACCCTCCTGATCAAGTCCGTCTGTCTGCCTCTGGCCATCGCATCTGGTCTGTCAGTCGGAAAAGAAGGGCCCAGCGTGCACTACGCCGTGTGCACTGGAAACGTAATCTCGCGGTTGTTTGACAAATACCGCCGCAACGCCGCCAAAACCCGAGAGATCCTGAGTGCCTGCGCTGCAGCAGGTGTCGCTGTCGCCTTCGGCAGTCCCATTGGTGGAGTGCTCTTCTCTCTGGAGGAAATGTCGAGCTACTTTCCATTGAAAACGCTCTGGCGCAGTTACTTTTGTGCCTTGGTAGCGACAGCTGTTCTTGCGGCCATGAACCCCTTTAGGACGGGACAGCTTGTCATGTTCCAGGTTCACTATGATCGCTCTTGGCACTTTTTCGAGGTGGTGTTCTACATCATTTTGGGAATATTTGGTGGTCTCTACGGCGCTTTTGTCATCAAGTGGAATCTGCGGGCTCAGGCTTTCAGGAAGAAGTTCCTCACCAAATACGCTATCGCCGAGGCGACGATTCTGGCTGCCGCGACGGCAATTATTTGCTACCCCAATGTCTTTCTCAGGATTGACATGACGGAAAGCATGGAGATCTTGTTCCTAGAGTGCGAGGGCGCCGAAGACTACCACGGCCTATGCGAGCCAGACAAGAAGCTTTCCAACATCCTGTCGCTGGCTCTGGCAACGATTCTGAGAGTTCTCCTCGTCATCATCTCGTATGGCTGCAAAGTGCCTGCTGGAATTTTCGTTCCGTCAATGGCTGTCGGCGCTTCATTTGGACGAACAGTGGGCATTATTGTCCAGGCGATCCACGAAGCGAACCCCACGAGCGCCTTCTTCGCAGCTTGCAAGCCAGACGAGCCTTGCATTACCCCTGGTACATACGCTTTCCTCGGCGCAGCTGCAGCGCTCAGTGGCATCATGCACATATACGTTTCTGTCGTGGTCATCATGTTCGAGCTCACGGGAGCCCTGACCTACATTCTCCCAACCATGATCGTGGTCGGCGTGACAAAGATCGTCAGCGAGCTCTTCGGCAAAGGCGGCATCGCCGACAGGATGATCTGGTTCAGTGGTTTCCCCTTCCTAGATAACAAGGAAGAACACAACTTTGGCGTCCCCGTATCGGAAGTCATGCGCACTCAAGTGACGTCTCTACCGGTCAATGGCATGTCGTTCGCACAGCTCGAACGTCTGCTGAAAGACGACAAGTATCAAGGCTTCCCCATCGTCGAGGACGAAACCTCCAAGATTCTGGTCGGCTACATTGGCCGCACCGAGCTGCGCTACGCCATCGATCGTATTAGACGTGAGAGGTCCATCAGCCAAGACGCAATGTGCAGCTTTTCGCCCCCTCCAGCGTCAATGACCCCGGTAACACCAACCGTCGCCGTCTTCCCCAGCTACATGTCCACCTCGTCCGTCGACTTCAGCCGCTACATCGACACCACGCCCGTCACGGCGCACCCCCGCCTCCCTCTCGAGACGGTGATGGAGCTCTTCCGCAAGATCGGCCCGCGCGTTGTACTCATCGAGTACCACGGCCGCTTGTCGGGCCTCGTGACGGTCAAGGACTGCCTCAAGTACCAGTTCACGGCCGAGCATGCCGAGAACCCGCGCGACGACTCGGCGCTCGCCGAGAGCCAGGAGAAGCTGTGGAGCGCGATGCGTCGCGCTGCCGGGTGGGTGTCGGATAAGGTGGCGCTGGCCTCGGGAGGCAGGGTGAGGTTGTCGTCGTTTGACGAGCGGAGGTCACCAGGGGCCCGGCCGCTCGGAGCGCAGATTCTCGACGGGGATGAAGACGATGCTGATGACGGCGCGTTGGAGCTTGAGAACCGGTGATTTTGTGGTTATGTACGATGTTGATGGGTTATGGGGAAATATGTACGGATGGCGTTATGGGCATTTACAAGGTCGGCTTCGGGCTCAAGACGAATAGATAGATTGCGGCAGGCGGCTGCGAATGTCACGTGTTTTCTTATTTTTTGAGCGCTGTGTCTTGCGTGGGATGTCTTGGAGTTTGATGACTCTGGTCCGCAGCTTCGTTGTTCACAGCCTCCGTGGTGATGGCATTGTAGTCTCACCTAGGAGAGGGCAAGACACGCTCTCAGCGGTAGGGTGTGGATGTCACTTGTGTGAGTTCGTACTGCTAATATCGTGGTAGAAGGAAGGAAGGCAGGTACTCTATCTACTTCACCTTGTGGAACCCTCCGGTCCCGAACAATGGAAGGAGCACACCCACCTTTGCTACCTATCTCTTGCCCATCCATGATACCTGTCTGGCTCGCCCACGAGACCACGAGACAAAGGGTTATAGACGTCAGAGCCGCCCTCACTTTCGGTTCCCCAGAGACAACTAGCACGCAGTGCCTCTGGGGCGTGCATGGCTGAACACGTTAAACTCGGAGTGCAAAATCCTCGGATTTTCATAGGATCGAAACCCAGGGAGGGCCCTGGGTTCGATCTGAACTTTTTGACCCTTTTTTGGTTTTCTTTCTTGTCTGTGTGGTTTTTCTATTATACTTTCCATCACATATCCATCCATCCACCCATACCTTAGGGATTTATTAAGAATATGCTGCTGTCTCTTTTCCGATCAAGGGTTTGCATTATTCTCTCAGTGAACCAGTGTAGTATCACGATACACCACGGGGCCTTTATGGTTGAGTACGACAACTCTTGGTTCAGTAACCTCTTCTGCCCGAGCACAATTCGAACATGCCACCTTACTGACGTAGTAGTACGTTAGTTCGAGTATGGGTCGTCCTTTCCTGCTCTTGCGTGTGGTGAAATGGGCTGAGTACTATCCGCTCTTGCAGCGACATCATAGGCCTTGAGTTGAGCATTGTGACCTTGGGCAGCCGAAGGCTTTTTACTGATGCTACTCTACCCTAGCATGATCACCGACCAGTCCTGAAGTTACATCTTACGGGATGCTACCTTGCATCGCCCTGTATATTCAAGGGTATCGTCTATATGATGTTTTCTTGTACATATCATCCAACATGAACACTTTCCAAATGCACCTCTCTTCCTTCTTTGTCTTTACATGGCCGTCAAGCGCGATGTTCATGAGCCGAAAGGTCTCCCAGGTCAACAATGTCCTCGTCCTCGGACTCATCTTTATCCTCCTCGGCACCGTCTGCCGGGGCAAGGCCGGGCTGCTGGGGCAGAGGCGCGTAGTCGGCGGACTTGTCCGCGGCAGTCTCGTCCTTGCGGCCGATGATGACGTTTCCGGCGACCAGGAGGGCCGCGCCGAGCCACCAGAGCGGTGGCAGGGACTCAGAGAAGATGGCGAGGCCGAGGAGGGCGGTGATGACAAAGTTTGACGAGGTGTTCATGATGGACACCTGAGTGGTGGAGCTGCCCTTGGCGAGGGCCTTTGTGAAGAGAGTCCACATCTGCGACAGGTTAGGCCCTTGCTTACGTGCTGGAGAGGGTTGAGAGACTTACGATGCCATTGAAGACGAGGTTGAGGCCGAAGAATACCTGAGACGAATCAGTACTTGCGATGAGACGAATTTAGGGATCAGTCGTACGGCTCGCAGGACAACCTCGAATGCACCTTCGATATCCGACAGGTGGAGGAAGTTGGAGATGGCTTGCGAAATTGTCGTTGTGAGTTCCGTTGTGGTCCTAGTTTGATTGTGAGTGAGACATTCAACAAAGAGGCTTGTTCCTGTTCTTTGAAACGCTCAAACGCTAGTTGAAACAATGCAGACATGACGAAAAATTGAGAAAACAAGTAAATTCAAAATTTGATGAAGAATCTTTGCGACCACAACGGATTATCGTTGATAACCCGTGAATAAGAATGAGTGTTGTCCATTCTTGGCATGACATCGCCGACTGAGCCGGGGGGGGGGGGGGTTGCGCAAATGACAAGGTGAGCAACTCACAGCTTCGCAAAGACGCCGTTGAAGGCCGCGCAAGCACCGCTCGCAACGGCGAGCACGATCCACTGGTTCCGGCGTGCCCAGGCCATCTTGCTCTCGTCGCCTTGGTCGTTGTTGTCGTCTTCTGCGTCGGTCGGCGGCTGGCTGTGCTCGTCGTCCTCGTGGCGCGGGAGCAGCGGGCGGCGCTCGTTGTCCAGGGAAGTCGTCTTCGCGGCGGCCATGGTGGGTATCTGGTCCTTTTGAGCGCGGTCGGGGTCGGCGGATGCTGCGGCGGGTTGTCTTTGGCGGAGCATTATGTGGAGAGGGAAGGAAGGAGGGAAGTCTGGGTGGTGATGACCCCTGCTGATGTTGCTGGGGTGGTGGCCGTGGTGGTGGTGGTGCGCTTGGCGATGCCGTGTGTGGGAGGAGGATGAGGTAAGGCAAGGACAGCAGAGCGCCGGGCTGTGCTGCGGTCAGTGTTGCGGAGGTGCAGGTGCGCTGGGATGAGTTAACGGCGCACTTCAAGCCGCGTGTGAGAGAGTCCGACGGGAAGATGGGGATGGGATGGACAGAGCTGGCGGCGGGCGGGCGCTTGGGAAGTCTGTGACAGGCGGCGCGGCGTGTCTCAATGGGTGGCGGTGGTGGTGGCAGATAGGGGTGAGATCTTGCTTCTGGTGGCCTCCAGCTTCCGGACTAGGGGAATCCCCGTTGAAGAGAAAACGTGCGATGGGTGTTTGTGGTTAGTCAGCATCGATGTCCACGCCCAAATGATCCATCCTCGTGAACGACTTTGAGTATTTGGGATGACAAGACTGCTAACCGCCAGCTTGCTTTCGACCAGGCTACTACTCGCCCTGCTCTCGCTTCCGCTGCTAGGAAATGGCAACCGCGTCTCTGGTCCGATTTATGCCAATAGCCGGGATTAGAAAATACCCTTGTCACCACAGCAAGGTACGTGCCTCTTACACCACTCTTATTTAACCAACACAGTCCCTCGAACTAAGGCACCTACATCACCTTGGACCTACAGCAGAACCAACTTCATTCTGGATCTGTTCAACTGTTCGTCGAAAGCTTGACCAAAAAGACATTTCTAAACTTCTCAATCGCCTGAGTCACCATGTCACGAGACAACCGTGACAACTTCGACGCCCGGACGCTCGAAGAGCTGCCAAGTCAACCGGGCGGCTACCAAAGAGACATCTTTTCCCGAATCTGCCTCAACATGATCAGAACCGGCTATCACAAGTGGGGATTCGTGATCTACCGCTGCACATACGACGACAACGAACTGTGGAACCGCTATCTGACGCAGCTCAAGCAGTCCTGCCATGAGGAGCTTGTCAAGGGCCGTCGAGCTGAGTTGCTGGAGAATTACCTCGACTGGGTCATCATCGAAGACCGCGACAAATTGGAGAATGCCTCGAGATCAGACGTCAGACACCATTTTGATGGCTGGGTCTCCGAACAGGGTCTCGTTAAGCCCCCGCCTCGTGTTATTGAGCAGCCAGATGTTACCAAACTTCCCCGCTTTCGCTTTTGTCTCTACGTCGACAGGCAGTGCCTCGAAACTGTGATTCAGTTCCAAGAGGCAGACACTGGCGACCAGTTTTTCAGAAGTCGCCTACCACCCATGGTCATCACCGTCATCGATCGCTGCTGGGCTTCGGACCGCACTCAGGGCAATGTCACCATGAACGATGGTGGCTATCCCGCCATTGACGGTTGCGACCGCAAGTACGTTGGATGGGAATACTTCAACGCAATATTCGTCGCATCAGTGTACAACGACCTGCATGGAGAGCTGGATGACTATGAATCTTATCAGCGGCCGCCAGCCATCTACCCTCTCGGCAAGAAGTCGATGCCCAGTTGAGCTACGGCACTCAGTCGGTAAGTATGGGAAGGAGCCGTTTGGAGGCCAACATAATAGGTTTGAGTCAAGCCAGGCTTCTCTATGTATTCTATGTCTGTCTTGGGAAGGAGGGTGAAGCTCTTTCAATGCCATGCAATATTACTTCACCTTTTCGGCGGCTTGATATCGCCTCTCCGGTTTAGCAAGCGCGCCACTCTAGCCCTGATAGAAAACTCATTCGGAGGCGCTCTCCCGGCTTGACTTAGAGCGTCAAGGTCTTGCAATATGAGGTCCAGCATTTCGTCCACCCAGCCCCTAGTTCTTTCTGCCGCATCGTTGTACCAGTTTTCGTCAAACTCCATGAGAATATAACGCATTCTGGCAAAAGCTGGGACGAGTCGCCCGATGAGACCGCTTCCGTCGATCAAGTTGTTACGGTTGGTGCTGACAGTTGGGAGCGCGTCAGGATGGTTCAAATAGTTCCATACTCCAATCGCCTTGAATGGGAAAGTCACCGTTAGTGTCACACTCCAAACTTGTTTGGGGGGCCTTGGGCGCGATTTGACTTACTCTCGCAATGTTGTCGAACATCGTCTCTTCCGCCTGCGTATCCCCACTCAACGCATCATCTCGCAGTCCTGCCATTACAACGTCGTTGACCGGCCTCATTTCTCTATTGAAGATTCTGCCTTTCATCTGGTTCAGTCGGCGTTCGCAGAGGAGTAGAGGCTTCCTGTTCCCTTGCGAGCCGAAAAAGTCCATGATGAAGTCGTTGATAGAGTTTATGCATCTACTAGTACCCTGAGTAGGGAAAGTTCCAAAAGGGAACGGCGCGTCCCACCAATACTCGATATCTTTGGGGTCGATGAAGCCGTTGACTGTCCTCGAGAGGTCTGGGAGCTCACCAGTGCCCAGTGTGTGCAGAAAGTCCGACATGAATTGCAGCTGGAACATCTGTCAGCAACTTTCTTTGACAAAGAGCATTGCGAGATTGAAGCAACTTACATCGGGATTATGTTCATTGTCATATGCTGCCGAAATCTGTTTTTTTGTGAAAGTCTTTCGGTCCTTTACTATAACATCCACATTTCCACACCCAGGTGCCAACCTGTGAAGTTCCGCATGTCAGTTTTGCTCATATTGCCAAAGTGCATCTGAATCATTCTGATGGCGCCATGCTTTGATGTCTATTGATGTTGCAGGCAAAGTCAAGAACGATGCCAAAGACCCGAGTAGACCATCAGATCAGAACAAAAATACAAGACCTGTGAAACCAAATATGGACCAATCGGAAAGTTCACTTACTCAAATATGTCGTCTGACGCCGGGTCGCCTCGTGTGTTCGAATGGAGTGTGCCCGACCCAGGATATGCCCTGGCTGTGATGATGATCTCAATGAGATTTTGAATGATATCTTCGATAACCGCTTGGTAGGTTCTTCTCCGTTTCGCTCTCTTTTCGAGAAGGGATCCGTCTTCGAGCGTTAGAAGAGACAAGGCATCATACTCAGCCAAGGCTCCTTCGTCTCGGCGAAGTTCATCGTGATCATCGCACGTGTCTTCGTCGGTATCATCATCCTCGGCCCACTCATCCGGAGCACAGTCGCCGATGAGTATAGTGCAATACGGGTTGGGGCATACTCCATTGCCAAATACGGCCTCCTCCGGTGTGCAACAGAGCGACTTCTTCCTCCACCCTCGTTTATTGTCAGCTTCGGTACACAGCAAGTTTTGGACCGCACACTCACAGGAGCAAAGGTTGCCGTCTCCGCCACCCTGATCCAATATCAGGGTGACTTCCTTGTTGTTGCAGGTGTTGTCTGCGCAGTCACCTTGTCCAACCCAATGGCAGTTGGAAAAGGGAGGAGGATTGTTCTTGCAACAATACCTATTAGTCAAAGTTCCCAGACCACACTTGCCCTCTAGCTCCGAAGCCTGGGCTACTTTTGTTTCATCTCCCGCACACTTCTCAGAGCTATTGAGATGTCAGCGTCAAGTTAAGATCTGGTTTCGACATCGGACGTTCTCATCTGTGACATCAAATGGTTTCCAACCACACTCGCTACATAAGACGGACAAGAGCGCAGTCCCTCGGGTTGTGAAGGAAATGTAGAAAACTCACCATTCTGTCCAACGACATTGGCTGGTCATGGCGCTGAAAGTGCTAAGTTCACAGCAGAAGACCTTTTGTCCACGACTGCATTTGCTATCGCCACTCTCTCCAGGGTCACCTCCTTTCGCCGACTCGAAAAGGGTGACCTCTCCCTTGTGGCACTGGCCGTTGCAATCTCCGCCGCTTCCCCTCCACGTACACTCCATAGGAAGAGCGCTGTTCTTACAACAAATAGGGAGCCCCTGTGAAGGTCAAATTAGCTAGGAATATGTGTATGGCCGGCCAACCTACCGAATTGCCCGAGCAGCTAGCCCGATCAAACGACATGCTTGCGTAGCCATCGCGACAGCTAGAGGCTTGGGTATTGTCCAAATCCACACACTCGGTAAATCGGTAGCAGTCCTTATCTAGGTGAGGCATTTCCACCTGGTCCACTGGAGGGTCAGTCTGCTCTTGTGAGTCGCCACCACTCGAGTCACAAGCATTCTTGGGACAGAGACCTCTGGCGCAGGCGAACGCACAAAGGCCGTGGTCTTCGCCGATTCGGCTTATAGCTTTGGTCGCCTGAGACGGGTTCATAAGGTTGAGAGAACCTTGCCCTGTACACTTGCACCTGGCAATAGGGCAAAAGCCATGGCGGCAGGTGAAGCTGCAAAGCGCCGCCCAGTCCCCGTCACCAGTCCCCGAGGTGCAGGATGGGGGGTTGAAAGGAGATACAGTCGGTTCGATCATGGGGTACTCGTCCTTGCCGCAGTAAGTTGAGAAGCAGGCTCCGTAGAGGCAAGCATAGTTGCAAAGGCCGATGTAATTCGAGTTCAACCCCTCGGCCGGATGGACCTCTCCGGGAGTCTCTGGAGGCAGCTTGATCTGAGCGCCCGTGGCTCTGCAAACGCAAGCACTCTCAGGACAATAGCCCCAGTAGCATGTGGTCCGACACAAGACATCAAAGTCGTTCGCGCCAGTGCCGCGGATACACACTTCATTCTCCAAAGAAGGCGTGTCGAGGGCACTAGGGGCTCTCGAGGTCAGGCCGCCACCAGCCCAGGCGTCGAACCCTGTCATGCCCTTGTGACAGTCGTTCTTGATCGCGGGGCCAGTCTCGTCGGCGATGGTCACACTCTTTCGCGTGACGGTGATCCGTACGTCTCCTGTGCGCCCATTGAACGGTGCGCTGCCATGGTAGAGGCCGGCCCCACCATCAGACAAGTCTCTCAAGACGCCCTTGGAGGACACGCCCCCAATAGAGACGGTGACAGACACAGTATCAGTCGAAAGAACGGTGAAGAAGACCGAGTCTTGGATGATGTCATTGGGCCGAAACTCCATCTGGAGCTGTGAGACTGTGTTGCCCGTGGTACCGCCCGTGCCGCAAGCACCTTTGGGGGTCGTGCGATACCAGAATGAGACGCCCTCAGTAGTGATTGTTGCTTTGTTGTTCTTGTATCGATCTATGGAGAACGGGAGAAGCACCCGCCAGCCATGGTGGTCGAGGGAGTATCGGTAAGGTGCTTTCCCAGTATCGAAAGCCACAAGGGCGTGATCTCGGATCGGCCCAATGTGATGGCTCTCGCCGTAGTCGTTCCACGAAATGATCTGAACGAACTCGGGCATCAAAGTATTGACTTGGATCCAGCGATCGAACCAAAGATGATCCCCGCGCCACAGCCAATTTTTGCTATACCCAGGGAGATTGGTATAGAACCATGGGGAGACAGGCATCATGTAGGCTTTGCCGTCCAAAGCTCTCCTATAGGAGGCATCGACGTAAGTGTCCATGTCCTGATCGCCCCATGGCCAGCCAGCCCAACTGAAGAGCCCATCAACAACACCACCTGCTTTCTCAACAGCAGGACCAGCCCCCAAAGAGGACCAGTCAGGCACAAAGAAGCACCCAGTAGTAGCTTTGATATCGACCCAATCATCAGCTTGGTCGGGTCCTTCGAATGTCGAGACGAAAGGCTTTCCTTGGTGTCTAAAGTAGGCACTACTAGGAGCGTACTTATTAATCCAGGAGATCACTTCGTCCTTACAAAAGGGACCCCGGCCGGCATAATCGAAAGAGAAGAACAGCTTGAATCCTAGAGCCTCCGCATTTGAGAAAGCATCGGCTATGGCCTTGGTGTTCATAGGCTCTCCCTTGGCCATTTTCAGGGCAAAGGCGTCGATATGAGCCTCTTGAGCCAGTTTGATGTCATCGACCCAATCAGATGCCGTGTAGTGTTCCGTATTGCCAACCTGTAAGAAACAGATTTGTTAGCTTCCCAGTAAGGTTTACAACTTCTGCAAATGAGGCAGGGCTTTACTTGCCATGAAGTGGGCAAACACAGCCCGTCCTAAGACTTCGTTCACCCATGACAAGGACGCAAGAAAGAAAAGTAGTAGTCTCATTGCGGCCAGTTAGAACAGAGACAGAAGGGAACTTAAGAGAAAGGAGTGACTTCAATAATACAACAAGCAAGACATAGTCTACTCATCAAATGGCGGCAGACGTCGAGACTCATATTCATTTTCCTATCCTATCCACCCTTCTGCCTGAATTTACCACATCAGTATCTGTTGTTTCTCTTCTTCATATTCTTCATCAAGTATCCCTACCTCGACCGGGCGAACATGAGCCCCCGGATCCGCATGGACTTCCAACACACACTTTCTTCCCACCCTCCACCTGGGCTCTAGACATGGTGATTTCCGGCATGCGAAGGCCGAGTTAGCGCAAGCGGCGAACCGGAGTTTCGTGATAGGCGGATATTCATTTCTCGTCAGAGAAATCTTCATGACATGGGATGGGTGCGTGAGACCCATGAGTGTCACGGCTATGGTGTTGCCTGATTCAAACACAGCTCCTCATGACAACCCTGTCTTCATGTGAAAGGATTCAGCCCTACAAGGTACTTTGATTAGTGACTTTGGGAAGTTCGGCCTGTAGTCTCCTCCGATGTGACTCGTCACAGGTTGCGGTAGCCTTGTGATCTCTTGATGTTGGACCAACACTTGAGAATATTTGAGCAGTGGACTCTCCACACCGCCGTACAGGGGTCGGTGGCAACTTCCTATTCCCTCATTGTAAAGAGTATCGGAGCAGCGCGATTTACTGCAATTCACGACATCAAGGGGATTTCTGCACGCATCGGCTAGGCCCTCGTCGTCGGAGCAGCTGAAGACTGTCGTTGGATCCATTAATGTCCCCGGAAGGAAACAAGCTTAATTGGGACGGAACGCAACGCCGGTCAAGCAACCACGACGGTCTAGGGGAGTCTTAAGCCTAGACTATCGTTATAGACAGTAGATATGTGGCGCTGCACTAGGATTAACCGGTGATCGATTCGGCTCGATTGCCCTACTTCGGCTGGGCGAAGGGCGGGCCGCTGGAGACCTTTTCCATATCAAGGGTTGGTGTCCGGGGCTAAGCACCAACAGCACCTTGACCTGCAGGGTAGTCGAAGGAGGACCAACAGCCCCACGAACGGTTCGTTCACCTCGGTTCATCCGAGCCGTTCCTGCGATGCCAAGTCTAAACCACGGAAAGACTCCGAGGGGTGTCCGCAAGCAAGCGGATAATATGAGATTGTCAAGTAGGAGGGCCTATAGACGCATATGTGCTCCACATGCTGCCTGTCAATGTACCTAGCCGCCGGGACGGGTCGAGGAGCATGACACATTGGAAGAACAAGACTCAAAGTGAGCGAACTAGGTCGCGATCAGTCGGATTCGATGGTTTTACTTGCTCGGATAACCTTAACACACCACAATTCCTTGGGTGTATCTTTCTTATTCACTGTTTGAAGGATCTGTCTGGTTGATCCGTCCATGAGCCAGTATCACTGTGACAGAATCTTCGAGTATAGACCATGGTAACCTGAGGACGACTACACTGATCGACGAATGGTTGTTATTTGCGAGGCGAGAGGAGGCTTTGTGCCGCAGGCGGACATCATCCCTCCGCGAAGATGCCACGCCGTCCGGGCCAGGCCGGTGCCTGGTTCGCCACGGGGCAGAGCCATGGGTTGTTGATGGAGTTTAATTTCACAATTGCGGGAGATTGCCATAGACAGATTTACATATGCAAGTAAATACGAGCGGCGCAGCAGTTCTTCGCCAACACTAGCGCCAACAGACTGCATTCGAGGATCTCAAAACATTCCAGGCCTGAGTCCGAGGACTTGGAGGCATGCAGTCCGCAACATTGTGACGAGCTACGCGCAGCCAGGTCGGATGTGACATTGGTACCCACACTTTATCGTGGTGCGTGCCTGTAATCAATCGTCGAGTGTGAAGTATTGGATGAAAGCGGAGTCAGTTTTGTCAAGTAGCTGACAAGCACTCGCAAAGGCGACAAGCCCCCGAGCCATGGCATCCTGATATTCTTGTTTCTTCTAACTATTCAGTGTTCACAACATCCGAAGTATCTCCTTCATCCTCTCCTTGAGTCGGAGACCAATCGTCCATACTCTTTCGTAGTTCTCTGCCACGATTGAGAGCAATGTTGAAGATATTTGTTTGCGTGGTCGGCCTGGCTTGGCTGTTACCCGCCCTAGCCCAACAATTCCCACTCCGAGCAACTTCTTAAGAGTCGTTTGGGCTTTCTCAGCGCTGCTTTGAGGCACTGAACACCACTTTGAGTTGCTCTCATCGACTAGCTAGCCACATTAAGTCTGAGTATGCTTGAACGGCATGTCCATGCTTGTTTTAGTGTGCTAATCATTCTGCATAGATCTCCAAGAGTCGACGTCCTCGATGCGGACGGCATCGACGCCATCTGCACGGCAAACTGCAAGGAATCTTTGATTGATTTGCGCACCAAGATCCAAAGCGACTGCGACCCAGTGACAGACGTTTTGGATCACGACCTGGCGCTCTACCCAGGTCTGAACAATCTCTAATGTTCTTTCGTTGCGTGTGTTGCTTATATAAATCTCAGCTACGTACATCGTGGATCGTTATATCTATGTTTATGAGATATCATGCTACAAGCACAGGTAAGCAGGATCGACTGCTTTGGCTCAATGTCCTAGGTCTGAACGTACCGCAGGGAAACAGGGACCTCATGTGACTATATCCTAGGTGAGTGGCGTAATGAGACCGACGAAGCTCCTCGCGAATGCGACGACTGCGTTCTCGGGCCCATGCAAATTGAGGTCAACTCGCCCATTGGTCACACTGAGTCGCGCGCTGCCGGATTTGAGTCGGTCGTTTCCAGCTGCGGAGTGACGGGCTACTCTTACACCAGCCCATCACCATACGTCCTCAGTCCAGGAGCCACTTCGTCTGAAGTTCTGTCACCAACGGCAGTGGCACAAAGCTGGTCTGCACAGCGCATGTCCTCGGAATGCGCCGCGACTTATCACGTCCAGGAAGGCGACACTTGCGATAGCATTGTAGAGGCGCAGAGCGTTCCGAGCAGAGATCTCTTGGAAGCTAACGACCACCTCGACAACTGGTGCGGCGGAATCGAAGTGGGTCAGGACTTGTGCTTGCCGGCTCAGTGCAAGCTACATCTGGTAACGCCGGATGATTCGTGTGACTCTGTCACGGTTGAGTATGGCGTCATCATAGACAGCCTGTCCGAGTGGAATCCGAAGGTATACATCCAGTGTGATGGCTTCAACAAAACCATATCTGGCTTCATCTGCGTAGGGTGAGTAGTACCTCAAGAATGCGGAGTCTTTCGCTTTCACCTTGCTAATGTAACTGGTGGTCTCGAAAGACCTCCCGTCCTGTCGGGCAAGTCGTTCAAGGTGCCCACGAACCCCACGCTCAGAGCCAACGCCACATTCCACCTCACGACTCTCTCATCGGCTAAGACAAGTGACCGGCTACAGACGGCGTCAATCGCGCCATCTATTCAGTCTTCTGCTTCAGAATCATCTAGTCTTACGATGACCGGCATGGTACAGAATGAGGAGGCGACTGATACAGTTTTGTCATCAACGACGACAGAATTGAGGGACTCTGCTGAAAGCACAATCCCAACCATGGTCGTTGCAGATGACTAGGGCAACGGGTCATCCGGGCAACGCACCAGACTGGCCTGTCTAGCTGGACCGATTGTATGATTCTGGGTATATCAACGGGTGTCTTGCTATCCGAGCGGCTAGCGGGCATAGACGACGACGATAGGGGTAGGGGGGCAGGGACAGGGAGAGGGATCGGGATCGGAATAGAGACGACGGGGTTGATAGGGACAGTAGGGACGACAGTAATGGTAACATTATTTCAAAGACCACCTATTTCTCCTGTGGTATACCGACTACTTTTCCTCTGACTATACTCTAACTTGCCGTCGTCACTTCAATAATCGTCTGTTCTATCGTTGTCGTTGTCGTTGTCGTTGTCGTCGTCACTATTATCGTCTCCGATAGGAGTACTTGAGTACACAGGAAATATAGCCGCGCGGACACAAAAAAATTAGGCGGTCTCTTGTTTGAATGAAATAAACTAATAGCCTGTAGGCCCAATATAAGTAGTCATCCGCCTGAATAGGAAAATTCGTCAGCGGTTTCTTAATGGAACACTGTCCTGGCCAGGTTCGCACCAGCAGAGCCAGACTTCAAGCATTGTTGAAATGAGACCTGTCTGAAAGTTTACCGTCAGTAATTCTGAAGAAATTGATCGAAAGTGAACCGCGCCTCAGTAAGTAAGTTGGGTTCAACGACGAGTGCCAAAAGATTTTATCAGCTAAGATGCGCAGAGATGTCGAGACGTTGGTGTTGATGGAATAAAACCCCAGACAGTTGAGACAGAGACCCTTGGCGCTAGGTAACAATCGGGGCGTTCTCTTTTGGTGTGTGGTGCCTTTTGATGCACCTCAGTTCCCACTCATTGATAACCATGTAACAACTCGGACGCCTTTCCTGTTTCCGGCGGATGGGGCAGTTGTGGCTAGCCCCGGCTCTGCAGGTACCCGGCATCGGCCTCCCCTCTTTCAGATGGCTGGAGACGCAGCATTGTCCGTCAGGGAGACAGGAAGCTGGCATGCGACTCTGATGTGTGATCTTGATGCGATCTTGCCTTAGTACTTAGGAATTGGCAGTTGGAGGATCAAGATTGCAGAACGACGGCAATCCTAAACTTCGGCGGAAGTTGTGCCAATTGAGTTGTGGGGACGGGTATGACGTATGGTGCCGTAGCGTAACTTTCAATGCATTTCTGTCCCCGGTCTTCCAATCTTCGTCGTGTCATTTCACTTTTTGTGGTATGTACAAGTGACAGTGGAACAAGTTCACCTGTTCAGACACTTCGATAACATTTCGACTTCACTCGGCGCACAAAGACTTGATCATCTCCCTTAGCCATTGGGAAGATTGCAAGGAATCAATGCAATTTATAACGAGGATAGCACAACCAACCCGAAGAACAAAGTACGAGTATCATAGTGTAGGCATCCAATCTATTGGCAAGCCGAGCTCATCAAAAGTCTATGATGGTGCGCGCAAAACCTTGGGTGGTATCAAATGTTCGCAATTTGGGTGAACACCCTCGTCCCCCGTTCCGTTTGCCATCCCTCGTTTAGTGAAAATAATCAACCATGTAATACCTAAACGCCGTTGTATGTAGGCCTCCTTGGGCGCTGTCCATTCCCCAAGCAATGCGTACGTCTTCGTTCGTATACACTCGAAATGCGCTCATTGTGTCGTCTCCTAAGGGCCTTCTCCCGGCTTCTTCGAGTTGCAGCTTACGATCTTGACCTTGTCCGCAGACACCATCTGGCCGCCACTATCGAGCTTGAACTGGACATTCTTAATAAGAAAGGTCCACACTTCGTCGCAGAAACGGTAGGTGCTGAGGGAGCCCTGTGGTGTGCGAGTGTCAGTGATTTTGGTCTGTTGTAAAGCAGTCGCGCAGTCACTCTGTATGTAGCAATGATGTTGCTTGGGAATATTCGCAGTCGATGGGGAAGGCTGCCGAGGAAGGTGTTGGTGGTGCGTACCTTGAAGGTGAGGCGCGCCTTCACGCTCTTCTGAAGAGCCTCGGTGATCGCCTGATCAAAGTTGGCGAGGATCTTCATCGCGAGCTGCGGGTGAATGCGCTCTTCACTGATCAGATCATCGAGCATGTCCGTCAGCGCAAGGCCGATGCTAAGGAAGGAGGTACACGGGTTAGTCTTTGTAGCATTGGAACAGCTAGTATTACTAGACTTATGGATGGCGCATGTACCTGCTACGGCGGTAAAGCTCGTAGAAAGATTGAGGTGCGGCTGCCATCGTGGAGATTTGGTTCCTGATCTCCTGGGGGCGGGCGGCGGTCTGAGTGGTTGCGAGTGTGAAAGAGGCGAGGTTGTATTTATAGTGGCCTTGTTTGAGGATATCCTTGGATCTGGCTGACTAACGCTTCGGAAAGTGGGTACTCGGTGCAGCTGCCTGCTGTTCCAGGTTGCCATCAACTTCCAGTGGCTGCAGCTAGGGGAGGAGCATTACCTAAGCACACTTCCAATGAGCAACGGCGTCCAATAGACGCGTCATGTGACCTTACCGAATCGTTCGTCGGCTCTTACCTTGCCTTACCTCAGTTACCTCACTGCTTGGCCTCGAGAGCTCGACGTAGCTGCAACCCCCCAGACATCCGCCGTCAAATCCAACATCCACGATCGACCCCCGGGGAACGACACAAACGCCGAAACGAGCACGATGAGTCTCACATATGGCCTGGGAGGCATTGGAGGCGCCCTTACCGTGGTGGGAGCTTGTACGAACCCCCGATCCCGATGATGCCCCTTCGACACGATGGCCCGCGACAGTCAATCAAGCGAAGCTAACATAATGGTTTCCCAACAGACATGCTCTTCACCGGTTCGGGAGAGGCCTTCAACGTTGGCGAATTCCTCGAATCGATCTCACCTTACACATGGGCGGACATGGGCATCGGCATGTGCATTGGTCTTTCCGTCGTCGGCGCAGCATGGTACGAACAACAACACGCTTTCGCGAAGCATCGCATCGCATCTAGGCGGGGTCACGGTGTCTAACAGGTTTTGATATCTAGGGGTATTTTCATCACCGGCTCCTCCATTCTCGGCGCGGGCGTCAAGGCGCCGCGCGTTAGAACCAAGAACTTGATCTCCATTATCTTCTGCGAAGTCGTCGCCATCTACGGCGTCATCATGGCCATCGTCTTCTCGGCCCAGCTCGAACCGGCCGAGGGCAAGACCCTGCACGACGCCAACAGCTACTACACCGGATATGCCCTCTTCTGGTCCGGCATTACCGTCGGAATGTGCAACCTGATCTGCGGTGTCGCTGTCGGCATCAACGGTAGTGGAGCCGCGCTGGCTGATGCCGCGGACCCTACGCTGTACGTCTATAGCCTCCATCATCAAATGAAATCAAGTCTTGCTAACGCGCCGTGTCATAGCTTCGTCAAGATCCTCGTCGTCGAGATTTTCTCCTCCGTCCTCGGTCTTTTCGGTCTCATCGTCGGCCTCCTGGTGGCTGGCAAGACGAACGGATTCAAGTCGGAGTAAGGGATGTTCCAAACGGCACGGAAGTAAAACAAGGGGAGACTACCACAGACGGCATTATGAACGTCGAACTTGAATGATGTACAGTGGAGCACTGCATTACACCAAGGCTACTTGGGCTGGCGTTAATGGCATAAAGGCAGGGCGAGGAACATCTTGTATTGTATACTACCAACGTATTATAGCTCCTCATCGAAGTGATTTCTGCGCGAGCGTGGTATTTTTCAAGGATGATCATGGAAGTCAAATCTAGTCGCTGCATTATCTTATCGTGTACTGCACATGAAAGCATAGCGAGGTGCTCACAATTCCACGCGAATTTCGCCCATCAAAAGAGCCTCCACCTTGGTGCCCTTCTTCAGCTCTGTTCCCTTCGGCAAGGCGAGCAGGGCATTTGCAGACCGCAGACTTCCAACTTTAGAGCTCCTCTGACCACCGGTGCTACTTGCCGATAGAAGTCCATCCTTGCCGACCGTTACAACAGCCCGATGGTACTCTGCTCGCTGCTTATCCAGAGTGAAGTCGTGAGAAAGCGTCACCGGGACCTTGGGAAGACCAGTGGGCACAATACCGGAGAGCTTGTGCAGAGCCGGTATGACGAAGAGGTGGAACGTCACCAGTGCCGAGGCAGGGTTGCCAGGCAGGGAGAAAATGGTCTTGGTGACACGCTCTCCGGCGTTGTTCTTGACCGGAACTGTGGCGAAGGTAGTCGGCTTACCGGGTTTCATGGCGACGCGACCGAAATGAATGGTTCCCCCAAGAGAGCGCTCGATGGTCGGCTTCAAGAGATCCAGCTCGCCCATCGAGACACCGCCTGTGGTGATCAGCAAGTCGGACCTGCGGAGGCCTTCACGCAGGTTTTCCTCCAGGGATCCCGGCTTGTCGCGTGCGATGCCCAGATCGACGACATCGAAGCCCCACTGCCGTGCTGCGGACATGAGGGTGATGCGGTTGGTGTCTCTGACCTCACCTAGGCGAAGGCCACCCGGGCGGTCGGGCTCGATGATCTCATCGCCGGTGGAGAGGATGCCGACGACGGGTCGCTTGTAGGTCTTCGTCTCGGCGACGCCGACAGATGCCAGGAGACCGATCTCGCCGCCGACGCCGGAGATTTGCTCGCCCTTCTTCAGAATGAGGTCGCCTTCCTTGACGTCGCTGCCGACTTCCCGGATGTTCTCGCCCGGCTTGACGCCCTCCGCCAGGATCTCGACCTCCTTCTCTTCCTTTTCGTCAGCGGTCTTGGACTTTAGGATGGTGTCCTCGACCATGATGACTGAGGTAGCTCCAGGAGGCAGCGGCGCTCCTGTGGTAATTCTGGCAATCTCGCCCTCTTTCAGTATCTTTGCTTCCCCGGGAGCCGCGTGGGATACTGCTGTGACGGGGAACACGCCCTTCATGTTGCCGTCTTTGGGAACAACTACGGCGTAGCCATCCACGATGCTTGCACGGAAGGCGGGTACGTTCTCTCTAGCCGTGACATCCTCTGCTAGGATTGAGTTGACGATCTTGACGTCGACGAGTGATGTGACGATCTCCGCCTCAGGGGTGAAGTCTTGAATAAGGCGGAGGGCATCATCAACTTCAAGCATTGGATAAGGCGATTCCCTGTACCGTCGGGATGGCCCGAGACTTGGATCGTTGGACAGAGGATTGTCACCTGGTTTGGTATGCCTGACCAGGCTCCCGTGTCCATGACCATGGGAATGGCCGTGTTTGTGATCATGGCCGTGGCTATGGCCGTGGCTGTGGCCGTGATCGTGGGTATGTGAGTGTGAATGTGAGTGATCTTTTTGGACCTTTGGCGCCGCTGCATCTTGGGAGCCGATTCCGGCTTCTGCCTCGAGCTTCTTGACACCGCCTTGATGCAAAATTCTGGAATCAGCTCCGGCGGCTTGCACACAGGCATGGGGAAGCGTCTTGAGGACGGCCTGAAGGTTTTCTTTGGCACCCTTCGGGGATCCAGGGAGGGTGATGATGACAGTCTTATTTCTGACGCCTGCCACGGGTCTGGACATCATGGCAACTGGAATCATTAGTGATTTAATCCCTGGCTAATATATAGTGACTTACATGGGGTCACTGCTAAGGATGCTGCAATCATTCCGTGAACTAGACCGGGAGCTGGCCTGTGGATGAGAGCACTGACAGCCTGTACCGTATGTTAGCTTAGTTATTCTGGGGAGTTAATTAGATTAAATACCTCAGGGGTGCTATCAGACACAGCAAATCCAGTGCCTCCTGTGGTGAGAATCAAGTTGGCACCGTCTTCAAGCCCAACATCTGCCCACAGCATGATCTGGCGTTGAATCTGGGGAACAAGATCCGGGACGATTTTGCTGTCGGTGACCACCCACTTGCCACCACCCTCCTGTTCTATAACATCTTTCAAGACGAGCTCTGACTTATCCGTCGAGGGATCCTTGGATGCAGTCGTCGAGACGATCAAGATGGCCACTTTGAGAGGGATATCCATGGTGAACGAGGCGGATCTGAGACCTGGTCACAGATAGTGGTGTCTAGAACACCAACTTTGAGACAAAAATTCCGTGCGGTATTTCCTTTCAATCCGAGAAATCTCTAATAACCGCCCAAATCATCAAATAGCTTGACAACATGCCTGGTGACGTCGGGAGCTTCCAGAGGACCGGAGCTCGAGGAAAGCTCCCCCGCCTTAGTCAGCGACCTCCCGCATGGACAATGGACCCCACTTCGAGCCGCTGTTCCTCGATGTCCTCCCCTGCACTGCTTTGACGCGAGTACGTACCGCGACTTGAACTTTTTCAGTATCGACTTCGACAAGCTGTCACTCACTTTCCCAAGAGCGCGCAACGGCACAGCAAAATGGTCCGAATCAAGGAGAGGTATATCCTCGTCAACATTCTTTACCCACCTGACACGTCAAAGCAACAGGCGACCAATGTTCCAGATTTCGTAGTCATGCATCAGCCCACGACGGGGCAGCTTACTCCCCAGTCACTGCTGAAGGCGCTCCGAGCTGAAGTTGCTACGCTGTTTGGCGATTACGGCTCTGGTGCCATTGAAGGAAACCTATCAAGTCAGTAAAGAAAGACCATTGTCACGGACGCCCGCTAATCGAGCCTAGTCAAATATCTCTCTCAAGCAACCTCAACTTTCATCCTCAAAATCAAGAGAGAGCACTACCGTCTTGTGTGGGCCGCACTTACCTTCATGGACCGCGTCCCGCTTAAGCACGGAGATGGAAAACGCTGCTTGTTCAAAGTCGTCCGAGTGAGCGGCACGATTCGTAAGGCTGAGGAGGAAGCCATCAAACAGGCAAGACAACTCGTACTCGCCGCCAAAGACTCCGTCGCAGCAGCAGCCAGCGGCACCGTGCCAATGTTCGCTCAAAGCAAGGCACAAGCCGGCGACGCCATCATGGTCGACGCATCAGATGTCTCAGAAGAAGAGGGAATAGATGAAGAAGACGGCTGAAGGGTATCATTTGTTTTTGCGCACTACTTTTACGCCGCTGTCTGCCGGCACTGTCATGTCGCCAAAGTCCGGATCAGAGTCTGCCATCGCCTGATCCGCCTGACCGCCACTGGGGTCCTCCTCTTGCACCTTCGCCTGCTCCTCCCACTCTTTCCTCTCGAGCTCGTCATACTCGGCCTTGCGGTCGACCCAGCGCTCCTGGATGTCACGAACCTCCAACATGGACGACTCATTACGCATGGCGACCTGCCACACGGTGTCGTTCGCGCCCTCTGCGCTGCCGAAGATGTATCCTCCAGCTCTATCAATTACCCTGAGCAGATGCATCATGCTCTTCTTGTCTTCGACCGCGAGCACCTCGAACCGGACCAATCCGTAGCTCTCAATCATGTTTGCGACCGCCTCGTTCAGCCTGCCGAACTTCTCGTTGCGCATCACGGGAGACTCTTCCTCCAAGTAGGGGATGAGATATGAAAGATCGTCAACATCGGTGTAGTAATCGAGATTGAAAGGCAGAGAGTCGTACGAAGCGACCTTGTCGATTTTGGTAAGGACATTGATGTGTGGCATGTCCATCTGGAGCATGGCGCGGAGGGAGAGGAGAAGGTTGGAGATATAAAGTGAGGGTTGCGTTAGGCACAAGGAGTCGGACAGGTGCACGACGACGAGCTAGTAAGGAGTAAGCGGGAGTTGGTTCTGTGGTGAAGAGCCAGGAGGACCAACCCTGAACCCAAGCTTCTGTAGCTTGAAGAAGATGTTCCGTAGCGAGTTGTGATGGGTGTAGAGCTCAACTTGCCCTGGGCAGTCAAATAGGAAGTATTCGTCGTCGCCAATCTCTTTGAGTCCCTCTTCAAGCCATTCAAAGTTGTGCTCCAACTCCTCCAAAGCGTACAGAATGCCGCCGTTTGGTCCTAGCCTGTCACCGGCCATGATATCCTCGAGCTTGACGAGGTCGCGAATGTCGAGGGCTTTCGGGTAGTTCGTGTGGTCGTTTGCGGGATCAAGATTCACGACGGAGCAGGCGCGACCTATGGCGCCCATGAACTGGTGCACTTGACGTGGCGTGTTAGCTCTTGAGACTGTCGAGGACGCATCGTCGGGTCGGGGAGCTTACTGCCATCGCAGTAGGTACTCTTTCCAGAGCCCGGACTGCCGAGGACGAGCTGCGCAAAAGGCATCCTGGTTGATTGTGAGGCTGAGTTACTTGAGTTCGCGCCAGGAGAAGGAGTTTGTTGTGAGGAATTAGCAGCGTTGAAGATTGCCTGCCGCACCGCACGAGGTCTCGAATTCTTTCGAGAGTGAAGTTTCTCAGGCTATCTGCCTTACCGTCAGTGCCCCTCCATGCAGCATTACACAGCACATCCACAGCGTTCTGCAGGTGCCAGGCACTCCACTACACTGACGCCCGTCCATTCCCGGGAGGCCTAGCGTCATATGCTGCACCACCAACCGCGCTGAGCTTCCAGCGGGCGTGGGGCGGCACAATTCGCCTGACCGCCCGTACCCGACCCAGCTTTCCAAGCTTCCATCTTCATAGCTCCCACCCCACAAGCTGCTTTTTTTCTTCCCTCTTCTACTTTTTCTCCAACCACCTCTCTGGCTCGAGTCTCGTCTCAGCCACCAACAACCGGCCCTTTAAAAATCATCCGCCTCCCTTGCCCACGCGGCCCGGCTCTGCTAGCCCCGAGGGACGCGCTCAACCATGTGATCTGGTCTTTTCTCGCGCGCGCTATGCTGAACAACAACATCCTCTTGTCGTTGTTTCGTCGCAAAACCGCAGCCGCAGTCACCAATCGCAGCAGCAGTCATGTCGTCCGCCGACATATCCAGCGCCGTCTCTGACGCCGTGTCGGCCACAATGAGCACCTCTCCGGAGGTGCTCCCGTCCGCCTTCACGCGCGCGCAGGAGGTCGTCGCCGCCCAGGGATCGTCCAGCTGGTTGGGGCTCCTGGGGCGGTTGATCCTCGCCATTCTGTCCTTGATCTCCTCGATCCTGTATTGGGCTATCCGCATCGTTACCATCACGATACCTACCCTGCTCTTTACCTTGTTCTCGACAAGTTGGACCGTGACGATGAACGCCACCACATTGTACGCGTCCTGCTTGCCTTGCTATGTGGGAGCCTGTTGCTGACTCCCCGCAGAATGGTTATCATGGTCGCCATCATATCCGCAGTCAGTTGGGTAGTGCGCTACCGCATCCTGAACATGTACTCTCGGCTTCCCCCGGAGCCTCAGAGGAAGGAGCCAGACGTTGACCTATTCCCTGACACCCACGAGGAGGGCAAAAAGGCCGGCTTATCCAGCTATCTGGATGAGTTCTTGAGCGCTATCAAAATCTTCGGGTACTTGGAGCGACAGGTCTTCCATGAGTTGACCCGCAGCATGCAGACTCGCAAGCTCATTGCCGGCGAGACCTTCAACCTGGAAGACGAGAAGGGCTTTTGCATCGTCGTCGACGGGCTCGTGGAGATTTTTGTCAAATCTGGCCGAAATGCCAGAACCATGGAGCCTGAACCTTGCGAGAGCTTCGAGTCTGGCTATCCTGCTGAGGAAGACATCTCTCCCGCAGGACATCAGCGATACCAGCTACTCACTGAAGTCCGCAATGGCGCTCCCATGTCGTCCTTGTTCTCCATCATGTCTCTGTTCACTGAGGATGTCAAGCTCCGAACAACGGAAGACGATACTCCCGAGCCTAGTGCTGGGAGCGCTGGACTGAGAACTTCTCCGTTTCCACGCAACGCTGGTTTCCGGCGTATGCCATCTGACCCTGCAAGCCCGTATCAGATGACACCTCAATTCGCGGAATCCGCCGATGAGAAGCCCGGCGTGAGGATTGAGGAGCCGCCGAAGCGATCTGTCACCCCGACGCCAGCCAGCGCGAAAATCCCTCCTATTTCCCTCGACAACCCAAGCAGCGGTAGCGCTCCTGGCAGCGCGCGTGCACCAAAACGCCCACCGCTCCCGAGCCGCGCAACTTCTGGCTCGGCCCATCCAGATATCATTGCGAGGGCGACTGTCGACACGACCATTGCAATTATCCCGGCCAGCGCTTTCCGACGCTTGACCAAGGTCTACCCTAAGGCGACTTCCCACATCGTCCAGGTCATCCTTTCTCGTTTTCAGAGAGTGACGCTCGCGACTGCGTACAACTACCTTGGACTCACCGGGGAGGTGCTCCAGACGGAGAAGAACATGCTCTCCTTCACCACCTGCCAGTTGCCCAACATGCTTCGGGGTGATGCGCTTGAGCGCCTGAAGGAAAAGTTCAATCGTGAGCGTGAGCGCGTTGGTGGTGAGCTCGAGAGCAAGGGCATTGCTCTACACAACGCGAACGCTCATCGTCGTCGTAAGTCAACGTCGACTCTGCGGAAGGATGCAATGATCCATTCCATGAGCACCAAGGAGAGGTCGTTCTCCCAAGTTGCTACAACAATCGCGCCTCCCAGAGAGCGCTCCTCCACGCACACTCCGAGCCCTGGGGATTTGCTGGCAAACATCCAATTTGCTCGCACGGGTGGTCACAGGCCCGGCACTTCCACCACTGCCGACATCGACCAGGTTGCTGACGCTCTTCGTCACGAGGGGACAAGTCCTCTTGCCCAGCGGTCTTTCAACCCGTTCCATGCTCAGAAGCATCCGCGGATCTCGATCGACGGTCGCGACTCACTTGACGAGGACAACCTTTTCCGTCAGTCAATCTTGGAGTGCATGTTCAAGGCGATCGGCTTAGGCAGCGGTGGCAGTGTCTCGCGCGAGGCCGAGTCGGTCGAAGGATCTCCCAGACTGTTCTCCTACGACCAGCGTCGTCAGAGAGTTGGCCTCGGGAATAACGCGTTTGGTCTAATGGGCCCTTTCGAATCTTCTGGAGACGGTGACACGGAATCGTTGACTTCCGGGGGGTTCACTTTAAACACTCCACCGAACGCGCACCTGTTGGCCAATGACATGAAGGACGATGTCGAGATTGTTTTCTTCCCCAAGGGATCCGTTCTGGTTGAGCAGGGCGAGCGTAACCCTGGGCTGTACTATGTCATTGACGGATTCCTTGACATTTGCACCACGAATGAAGACTCGTCCGCCGACATTTTGCATTCATCTAGCAGGACTTCTCTCCATGCTGACTACCTGGCCATGGATGGATCTCCAGCTTATTCTTCTGTCAACCTGCTCGGGGCAGGAAAGGCTGGAGACACGAAGAAGAAGCAACCTGTTCGCCGCAGCGTGTCCCTGATCAAGCCCGGTGGACTCGCTGGTTACGTGGGCACAGTGTCGTCATATCGATCATTCATCGATGTTGTTGCGAAGACGGATGTCTACGTTGGCTTTCTGCCACGATCAACCATTGAGAGAATCGCCGACCGCTACCCTATCGTTTTGCTTACGATGGCCAAGCGACTCACGAGCCTTCTTCCTCGACTGATCATGCACATCGACTTTGCTCTCGACTGGGAACAAGTCGATGCCGGTCAAGTCATCTTCCACGAGGGAGACGAGAGCGAAGCCATCCACATCGTTCTCAACGGACGACTTCGGCTTGTTCAGGAGAAGAAGGATGGCGGTGTCAGTGTTCGGGCAGAGTTCGGTCAGGGCGAGAGTGTCGGAGAGCTGGAGGTCCTCACAGAGTCTGTCCGCCCCGGAACTCTGCATGCCATCCGTCAGACTGAGCTCGTCAAATTCCCCCGCACGCTCTTCAACAGTCTGGCTCAGGAGCATCCCAACATCACCATCAAGATCTCGAAGATTATTGCATCGCGCATGCGCAATCTTGTTGATGACCCCTCCCAACTGTTGTCTAAGGAGGCAGGTGGCGTCAACTCAATCAGCAAAGGTTCCTCATCCCTCAACTTGAGGACCGTTGCTGTCTTACCGGTGACTTCCGGCGTCCCCGTCGTTGAGTTCGGCAACCGATTGATGAATGCTCTGGCTCAGGTCGGCCCCGCAAATGGGGCGACCTCTCTCAACCAGTCTGCTATCTTGAACCATCTAGGCAAGCATGCCTTCAACAAGATGGGCAAACTCAAGCTCTCTCAGTACCTGGCCGATCTGGAGGAGAAGTATGGCCTGGTGGTCTATGTCGCAGGTAAGCAAATTTCTTTCCCTCTCCCATTTCGTTCCACGTCCTTTATGATGAACAACTCTGTTTCCCGAGGCAAGACCGCTGAAGGCCAAACATTAACTCTAATTTTTTCCTGATTGGACGATCACTATTTACCATTTTGTTGCAATGACTACCTGGACACGTTGCTAACCAATGGTCAGATACCAACGTCAACTCCCCATGGACCCAGACCTGCATCACTCAGGCCGATTGCATTCTTCTAGTTGGCCTTGGCGATGGCTCACCCGAAATCGGGGAGTACGAACGGTTCATGTTGGGAATGAAGTCCACCGCGAGAAAGCTTCTCGTTCTCCTCCACGGCGAACGCTACTCTCCTTCAGGTCTCACCAGAGCGTGGTTGAGGAATCGCATGTGGATCAATGGTGGCCACTACCACGTCCAGATGCCACTGGGTGCGAACATTATGCCGGTGCACCCACCTTCCAAGCGTACGAGCACCACCTTGAAGGAGAGGGTCCAGATCATCCAGGCAGAGATTCAAAAGTACACGTCCAGAAAGGTCCGCAACAGTCCCTTCTACTCTCCAGACGCGCCATACAAGGGCGACTTCCATCGTCTGGCACGGCGCCTGTGTGGAAAGTCTGTCGGTCTCGTCCTAGGAGGCGGTGGAGCCAGAGGCATCACGCATATTGGCATCATCCAGGCTATGGAAGAAGCAGGCATTCCCATCGACGTTGTCGGCGGCACGTCAATTGGTTCTTTCATCGGCGCCCTGTATGCCCGCCACGCCGACGTTGTGCCCATCTTCGGCCTTGCCAAGAAGTTCTCGGGCCGCATGGCCAGTATGTGGCGTTTCGCGCTGGATCTGACATACCCCACTGCGTCGTACACGACAGGACACGAGTTCAATCGTGGTATCTTCAAGACATTCGGCAAGACCCAGATCGAAGACTTCTGGCTCGAATACTACTGCAACACCACGAACATTAGCAAGAGCAGAATAGAGTACCACACCAGCGGCTACGCATGGAGGTACGTGCGTGCGTCCATGTCATTGGCTGGCCTGCTTCCACCGCTGTGCGACGAGGGGAGCATGCTTCTCGACGGTGGCTA